CCGCAAGGGTGGGCCCCGGGCCCCCCGGGGCCCGCGGAGGGCCCAGCTGGGGTAGTGGATGCCGCGAAGCAGCTCGTCTTGGAGTGGAAGGAGATCTGGAAGGCAGGAAAACCCCAGACGCTCAAGAGCGGCGACTTTCAGGTGCCATTAGAGGCCCCACCGCCAGCCCCGACAGCTGAGCAGATCAGGTCTGTTCTGAAGAAATTCGAGACAGGTGCCGGGATAGGCGTCGACGGGCGGGGCCCGAAGGTCCTGCAGCTCCTCAGCGACGATGCCTCGGAGGCGTTTGGCCTCTCCCTGTCGGTGATGGAATCAGAGTTTTTGATCCCAGATCAATGCAACCTCGCGCTGATCGCTTTCCCCGGGAAACCAGACGGCGGGTTTCGACCCATAGGGGCGCCAGCAACGCGCGCCCGTATTCTCGGGGGGTCACGGAGGGATGCAGCACAGAAGTGGGAGAGGGATCATGATCTTACGTGCGCGTGCGGAGCGAAAGGGAAGAGCTGCGAGCAGGCCGTGTGCCAGCAGGCAGCAGCATTGGAGGCAGCAACCTCAGTGGGCGCGCGCTCTGGGTCAGGCTTGGTCGACCTAGAGAAATGCTACGAGAAGATTCCACATGGCGTCATTTGGCAGTCATGTAAGAAGCACCAGTTCAACCTTAGAAGGGCCCGCCGGCTCCTCAAGGTTTAAGTGGCCAGAAGATTCAAAGTTCGGAACATCATCTCTAGCGTCATCACCTTCACGCGTAGGATTATAGCGGGATGTTCGTTTGCGACGACGATGTTAAGAGCTGTGGTGCGAGATGCGTTGGAATGCATGCAGGCGAGATGGCCGTCCCTCACCCTGTATGTCATGGTCGATGATATAACTCTCCGCGAGTGGCCCGGCGCAGAGGGCGCGGGCCCTGCTGGCCGAGGCTATCCCAGACCTCTGCAGGCAGTTAGAGAAGATCGAGCTGGTTGTGTCCAAAAAGAAGTGCCAGATCATGGCGTCGTGTCCAGCCCTGGCAGATAAGTTAGGCCGTGATTTGCGAGTCCGTTCTTTTTTTCTTTTGCGCTCGCGGCAGCATTAGGTCGCGACTTCAGCTGGCAGCTGCGCAAAAGGCAAGAAGATATTCAGGGGTCGAAACAGCTAACTACGACGACGAGCGCGTCGATTTCAAGCGCTGCGACATCGTCGCAAGGGCTTCTCGAGAGTCTATAGGGCGGGGTGATAGCAGCAGCGACGCACGGGGTACGAGCGATGGGGATGACGGACAAGGATTTGAAAGATCTCAGGGCAGTATCTGCGTTTGCTTTGTTCGGAAAGGCGAGAGGCCGTCCCCGCGCTGTCCAGTGCCGTCTTGCGGATCCACCTGATCTGGATCCATCGTATATGGTCAATGCCCTTCCTCTGATCACATGGCGGCAGGCACTGCATCAGAGGTGGACCCCAGATAACGTGATGTCTCACATTTTCTCGGCGGCGTTGAGAGAGAGAGAGAGAGAGAGAGAGAGAGAGAGAGAGAGAAAAGGAGAGAGAGAGAGAGAGAGAGAGAGAGAGAGAGAGAGAGATGAAAGGATGGTCGGCGGTGATAGGCCCAGTGGGGGCAGTCGTGCAGACGCTTCGCAGACTGGGTTGGACTGCCGGCGCCTTCACTTCTTGGAAAGATCCCCCGGGGCCCCAAGTAGATCTCAGGTGCCTGCATGCCAGATTCGAAGAAGGTTATCCACAGAGGAGTGAGGAGACAGCAGGAGCTAGCGGCAGTAGCACACACGGATGGCACAGGTTTCGCGTCCCTGGATCATGTAAAAGCCGAACTTAGATATCTTCGTGGACGGGGATGGGGGGCTGTTCAGGCGGACCTGGTCACCATGCAAATGTCGGGGGCCTCTGGACTAAGGAGAAACTCTTACCAATAACGTTTCACGATCGATACGGGATGCCGCTGGTGTCGAGATGGCCCAGGAACGATCGCTCATGGGATGCGCGAGTGCGACGGACTCGCCAGCTGGAGGCGCGAGCAGGGTTTCAACGAACTGATCGGCATCGGCCGAGAGAACCTTGAGTCAGTTCTCACCGCGTCCAGCGTGATCGACAGCCAGCGTGATGATATGCCTCTCCCGCTCCAGGCCATGGAATGTCAAATGAGATGTTACCTTCCCAGGGGCAGGTTCACCTTTTGTTTTCATCGACGGCTCTGGACTAAACCCTGACATAGACTGGCTGACAAGAGCGGGGTGGTCAGCAGTTTCGATTCGGCCAGATTCGGAACAAGTCTTGGCAGCACCTTGTGGCCCCGTTCAAGGTATTGTTCAGTCCTCAGGCCTAGCAGAGCACTGCGCCCTGCTCCAGGCCCTCCACTTGATGAGCGGGGTCACGGGGACGATCGTCACTGACCATACGAACCCCCTGTTCGGCCTCGAGAGGGGACCAGCGATCACGTGCGATCCGAAGCAGCCGTTCTGGGAAATCTGGAGGCACATATTCTGGAAACTGGAAGACGTAGTAAGGGATAACGCAGACGTTCTCTGGATGCCTTCTCATCGTTCAAAAACATGGTATCGTAGCAATGGTTGTCCATACGATTTGTTTTATGGGCATCGGGCAGCAGATAAATACGCTAAGCTTGGAGCTATGGACCATCCTTCTGTGGCCCACGTAGAGCAGCGGATAGCAGCAGCTGAAAATGTAGGCAGACAATTCGTTGGACTCCTCGGGGGAACCCTTGAAAGGCTCAGCGAATTGTGTTTTCCTGGCGTGGTTCCGTTTCAGAAGGCCAAAGCTAAACAGCCGAAGCCTGCCAAGTTAGGTCCAACGGAGCCCGTTTTGCAATTAAGAAGGGGCCCCGATGACAGGGAACATCTCCTGCACATCGCGGGTGGTGTGTGCTGTTGTAGAGTTTGCGGCAAAACGGCTAAGAAGCGCAGTGTAGCTGTTCAGGATGTTTGCCCAGGAATCCCTCGAGTCCTCGCGAAAGTGGGCGAGTCTCATCGGATGTGGCGCCTGGTCGTTTCAGATCATTTCTTTTGTCCTGGGTGCGGGAGACACGCGCGGCGACAGGTCAATCTTTGGCCGCGCGCTGATCCCGACCCACGGACGCAGGAGCGAGAGCACGGAAGATGCTCCGCAAGGGAGTGGGCCCAACGAGCAAGAAGGAGGTTGGTGCACCATTTCCCTTGCATTGATTTTTCTGAACGCGGGCTATCTTTCACCGAGGGATAGTCCTGTCAGAGGCTCCAAAACTCAGGAGGAGGAGGAGGAGGAGGAGGAGGAGGAGGAGGAGGAGGAGGAGGAGGAGGAGGAGGGAGGAGGGGGAGGGGGGGGGGGGAGGGGAGAGGGGGAGGGGGAGGGGGGAGGGGAGGAGGAGGAGGGAGGGGGAGGAGGAGGAGGAGAGGAGGAGGAGGAGGAGAGGAGGAGGAGGAGGAGGAGGAGGAGGAGGAGGAGGAGGAGGAGGAGGAGGAGGAGGAGGAGGAGGATAGGAGGAGGAGAGGAGGATAGGAGGAGGAGGAGGAGGAGGAGGAGGAGGAGGAGGAGAGGAGGAGGAGGAGGAGGAGGAGGAGGAGGGGGGAGGGGGAGGAGGAGGAGGAGGAGGAGGAGGAGGAGGAGGAGGAGGAGGAGGAGGAGGAGGAGGAGGAGAGGAGGGCAGGAGGAGGAGGAGGAGGAGGAGGAGGAGGAGGAGGAGGAGGAGGAGGAGGAGGAGGAGGAGGAGGAGGGGGGGCAGACGGGCCGAAGCCGGAGGAGGGGTACCGGGGGCGGCTTGGGGGAGAGGGGAGAGGGGGGCGCAGGCGGAGAACGCTCTGCTCTTCCCGCAGCCCCCTTCCAACTCCCCCCCGCTCATGCTCCCGAGTGCCCTGCTCTCCCTGATGGAGGGAGGGGGGGGCACGCTTCTGGCATGATAGAGTCGAGCTGACGACGAAGCAGATTCAAGCGATCGCAAGCACGGATCAAAGGGGCATGGATTAGCGACGGGTCCCGTTTCCGTGGGAAGCCGCGGACTTCGGCCACCGAGCGAGGCGGCGCCGGCCGCATTTTGGGGAGGGCACCTCCCAGGATCCGCGTCTGCGCGCCCCCGAAGTCGTGCTGACGACGCAGCAGATCAGCGGTCGCCGCGCGTTCGGCCTGCGTGCGGGGGCGCTTCGCGTCTTGGGCCGCGGGTCCGGCGGTGTGCTCGGCAGCCGCCGGGTCGAGCAGCGCGCGCCACGGACGGCGCAGACGTCTGCTCGGCCACGGACTTGTTCCGCGGGGGGCCAACTTCAAGCAGGCTGCGAGTACGAGTGATTCGTGTCAGGGTCTCTCAAGGCGCTGCATGGTTGCCGTGGCACCGGATGTGTCCTCTGCTTTCGCTGGCCCCCAGATTGTTGCGTGCCCGAGCGTTTTGGGTTCTGCCCTCCTCCTGCGTCTGAGGCGACAGCGGCGCCGTCCTGCGGCCTTCCACGCAGGGCCCAGCTGTTAGAAACTACGGCCTTCTGGGGGGGAGACTTTCAGCGTTAACGGCGGTTTTGAACATGTGTTGGCAGTATTCACATTGTGGATTTTGCCTCCCGCTCCCGCCCCTTCCAAAAGTTCGACTTCCGCAGTTGGGTTGCAACGGTTTTCCGCATTTCTCTGCCGCCGTGCTTTTGCTTGAGTTCGGGGGAGCATGCGGACGAATCGTACGGAGGTGGGGACGTCAAGTATCCACATACGCCGATCCCAGCGAGGCCAATCCCAGGCCGAGAATTGGCCTGGTCAGAAGCGGTGCAGGTAGACAGCTAGCGTTAAGTCGGGCCTTTCCCTCTACAGGAGGAATATTCAAAAATAGTGAAAAATAGTCTGATGATGATGTTTCTATTATTTTTTTGATGATTTTTGAATATGTTTTGGGTATTCTTTATTTTTCGTCTAAAATCCGCTTGTAGGAGGACATGCCCGACCTAGAGCCAGCGTCCTCCTAAGGTAGAATGTGGGAGAGGAAAGGACATGGAAGGCATGAGCACGAGCCAGAGGCTGGTAGGATGGACTCGTTGCCGACGCGCTAGGCGATTAATTTCTGCATGCAGAAAGCGGACTTCAGCTCCGACGGGACCCTGAATTTCAAGGAGCAGCGCTGCCAGCGATAAGAGGAGAAATCCATACGCAGGGGGCGTTCTGGGGCAAGTGAAGAAGCGTGAGGCCTCGTGGAACTCGTCCTCTCTGCCCCCCCCCTTTCCCCTCGATCCACTCTCTCACATGCTCTCCCGTGTTGCTCGCGATCGTGAGGTAAAGCCGACCCCCTGCCTCTCTCTATGTCCCTCTCCTGCTCCTCCTCCTCCTCCTCCTCCTCCTCCTCCTCCTCCTCCTCCCTCCTTCTCCTCCTCCTTCCTCCTCCTCCTCCTCCTCGTCCTCCTCCTCCTCTTCCTTCTCCTCTCCTGCTTCTCCTTATCCTGGTTTGCGTTCTTCATTCGCGTCGCATAAATCCTCCTTCTTCCACGCGGCGCTCGGCCGGCGGTGCCTCTCCTGCGTTGGGGCCAGTTGCTTCAGCGCGCGCTGCGCGCAGGCCTCTCACCTCCCGCTCCGTATACCGACCTTGCCACGCAGTGCATCTTCTTGGTGCTTAGCCTCATGCCAACGGCCATCGTCCGTGTCGCTATCTGGCTGTGTCATCAGCGCGCGCTGTGCGCAGGTCTCACCCCCCTGCTAGTGTATCGAACTCGCCATGCCATGCATCTTCTTTGTGTTTAGCCTCATGCCAACGGCCATCGTCCGCGTCGCTATCTGGCTGTGTCGTGGGCGTGCTCGGGGTCGGTGGCCGCGTACGCCGTGAGGTCGTCCACCCATGAGGCGTCTGTGAGAAGCCTCCCTCCGTCCTCTGTTTGGGCCTGCAGAGGCTGTATCTCGGGGTTCTGACATTTCGTAGGCGATGCCCTTATCGATCACGTCCTCTGCGATCGCATTGGTGACCTGGGCGGAAGTGTAATTGAAGATTAGGTCTGACGCCAGCACTCCAGTTCTTGTTCCAGTACTGGGTTGTGCTATTTTCTATGATCCTTTGGTGGTAGCCCGCATGCCGGCATGGTCGTCCCATGAGTGCACAGAGGTGCTCGTCGTGAAAGTTGTAGTCGAATCTTGGGGGGCACCTCAGGGCTTCCTCCAGCGCTGGTAGCAGAGTGGAAGGGATGTCGATGGTCTCCATGGAGTTAATTATCTCATCCATCTCGGCGTTGGCTTTGTATACAATCTGTGGGGCCACTCTGTAGAAGGCGGCCTTGAGGTCGAGGAACAGCATCACCGCTGTGCGTCCCTCCTTACTCACTGTGCTAAGGCTTGGCGCTGTCGGGTTTGACGAAGGATGTTTGCCAGCCTCCCTTGTCGGATAGTGGTTCCATTGTAGAGATCTGGGCTTTGGTAGCGAGCGGATGGAACAGCCTTGGCATGTTTTCTGGTTCTGCCGTTTCTAGGTCATCCAGGATGCCGTCGGGTCCCTTTTGTCTGCCTTATGGTGCCACCGTCATGAGGTATTTCCATGCGTCCCTGGTCTCGATGTTGTCGATGTGGGTGGTCCTGATGATGATCGCGTTCTTCGCGCGTTCGGTGTATTTGCCGCATGCTTCCCGTGAGCTTTTGACGAGGGAGTGTTCTGCAATGGCGAAGTGGTCTCACTCGGCCTCCGCCTGCTGGCATGTGTTCTGCATGGGTTTGTCCTCTGAGTCGAGTATGTACTGATGTTCTGGTACTACTCTGGACGGTCATCCTCCAAAGGTTTGCAATCTCCCCATTGCCTTCCATTCCTTGGCGGGGTTGTTTTCCGCGATGCCGTCGACGATGTGTTGCGCGTTCTGCCCCTGGAGGGTTTCTCCGAAGGGCTTAGGCGACCGTTATCCTCCTCCTCCTCCTTTCCTTCCTCCTCCTCCTCCTCCTCCTTTCCTTCCTCCTCCTCCTCCTCCCTCCTCTCCTCCTCTCCTCCTCCTCCTCCTCCTCCTCCTCATCCTCCTCCTCCTCCTCCTCCCTC